TTTCAGTCAATTTTACAGTTCGGTAAGCTTTTTACACCCTACTTGGCACCATTTTCTCTTAATGCGAGGGCTCCTCTTCCTTTTTCATTTTTCACTCATTTTCACTTGGAATTTATTTTAGCTCAACAATTTTTTTTTATCTCCATCAAATTTCTTTTAATTTGAGAGCCATAAATAAGATTTGAGGGATTTTGGATATATCCTAGGTTTTCATGAAAACAAATTAGAGAAAAAATTAGGGGTTTTAATGAGAATATAATTTAGGGATTGAGCATGTAAAGAATTTACCTTTGTTTAGGTTAGGAAACGAATTTCTAAAATTTCAGAAAAATTTTAGAAAGAGATGAATTTATAAAATTCTAAGAGGGAGAAAATATATTTTTAATAAAAAAATACATAGAAAAAAATCTAAAATATACTATAATTTTAAATTTACATAAACATGTCTGCTCTCATCCGCTTGGATACAAGTCTTTAATGCGTATACATGTAATATGTATACATTTTATATAAAATTTCATGTTAATTGGTGGATGATATTTTCATCATTATATGCTCTTCTATTTTCAAAAGAAGAATAAGGGATAGGAGGAAAAGCTTAAAAGTAGAACATCATCTAATCTTTTGATATTTTGGTAAAATAGTATAAACCGAGAGTATTTGTAATAATTATGTTGAAAATTGTAATCCATAGAGGCTTGTAATAAACCTCTCATGATTCATGTTCCATAGATAACAATAGAACAGCGAGAATCCCCATCTTAGTGACTGAATAATATGAAAATTGCTTACAAATATTAATCAGTATTGCATACAAATTGAAGCATATCACAATAACAAATTCTAATTGGACACTAACTACATAAGACTCCACAAACTCTTATCCAAGCATATAATAGTCGAGTCGAACCCCAAGTTCGATTTAACTTAAATTTATGTTCGAATCTCGTCATTTAACATTTTTGTCCCTTTTTCTTCGAAGAACAAACTCAATACAAAACAAAAACCCAGTTCAATTAAAGAGGAAACTACAAGATACGCTAAACCCTAGAATCTAATTCCATGATGGTGCTGAGGTTCATTGGATGCATGTACTTGGTGGAACCAGTCATGATATGTTGAACAATCAGCCTATTAGCCCTCTCAGAAGGATGGAAAGGATCCCAAAATGCGTAAATGTCTCGGTTCGGGCATAGGTTTGATGCTACCGTACATAGTCCGATTCCATTGTAAGCCCCTTGTCCACAGCAGGCTACCTTTGATGTAACGAAACCTAGCCAAAACATATTATGCACAAGATTAGTATGTGTATTAAACCATTGCCAATACATAAGTTACTTGGATGCAAGTCTGAGCAGGGATGGATCGAAAGAGTGTTGGAAAGTATGGTCGTACTTTTAGAAATTTTAAATTCTTACGTCGTTTAGATATTTTCTATAGACAATATAATTTCAAACCCCTAAATTTTGTAATTTTGTACTCCTAATATGAAATATTTCGTTTGGCCCGGGTCTGAGTATCGAGATACGGGTGCCTCTCTTCTAATTTCTTTTCTGTATATTTGAAGGGTTTGTTTTAAGAGAACCCCTTGGCTTCTCAAGGTTGCAAATAGTCATTTCCATTTATAGCTTCAACAATAAATTTAGGGTCCTTTGTTTTTATCATTTCCCAACAAACATCTATCCATCTTTTGTATCTACCAAATCTTGTCTCAAAGCTTTTAGAGTTTGGTGAAGTTTGTGGATTTCCACAGTTACGATAAACGTAAGGCAATCGAAAACGCGACCGCAAGTGCAGTTTAAATCCATGATCCGGATATGTTAGAAAAAAATGAAAAGCTAAAGAAGAAACCGTACCGAATTCTAGAGGGTTACCGATCCAATCCATGTGCATTTCGTTTGCATTAACGGTAATGAAAACAGTTGATCCAAGCTCATTGTTGACTTGGTTGAGCATTTGAACGAGCTGTGGGTTGAACAAGGCTGCGGCTCGTTGCAGCTCAACCGCACATTCACCGGCTCTGCTGTGTTGAGCCAGTTCGGCTGGGACGCACCCAACGGTCCAGTTCCGGTCACCAAAACCCTTCTTGCCCCCAACTCATGTAGCCTCTGCAAAGTCAAATCTATTATATTAGGTTTCGTACTCATGTCTCCTAAATAGTTATAGTTACGAGGGTATGACCTTTAAATGATTATTCAAATATATCAAGGGTCTTAGTGGCAAGAAAAATTATTTTTCTTAAAAGTTTTAGGTTCGAATCACTACAATTGTAAAGATATGTACTATCAATAGATTTTAAAAGGTTTTTGTTTGATTGATTTGTATACTATATAATATTTAATAAATATAAAATTTTGATATTAAAATCTATAATCTATAATCTATATCCACAAGGTAGTGACGAAACACAATAAAGATTAATGGGGCTACGAACTCTGAAATCTTGAGAAATTATAATTTAGGTTTCTTAAAATTTAGAGTATTTAATTTAAATCCTACAAAATTTTTAGAAATTCATATTAATTTTTAATATTTTTGAATATTCTTAATTATATCCCTCTCATAATTTTAAAACTTCTCATTAAGTCTTTCAATTTTTTTTAAATTTTAGTTAGATCACAATTTTTTGAAAAATATAAACTGAAATTTTCAAAATTTTAATTTAAACCTCTAAATTTTTTAAAGTTTAAAGTTATAAATTTTAGGGTTGCTAATGAATGGTTGCTAGTTTCTAGACATTAAGGGTCCATTTGGTTCAAAAAAAATATAGATTATTTTTATTTTTATTTTCTAAGAAAATAAAAAACATTAAAGAAAACATATTTGGTGGTAAAATTAGAAAATGAATTTTAGAAAATGAAAACAAAAATAAGTGAAAATATAAAAATATAAAAAATATATTTCAGCATTTTTCATTAAAATTTTATTTTAGAAATTTGAAAATAAAAAATACGAAAGCTAGATTTTTAATTCAACTTACGCATGTTCTAATCATTTTGACAATAATATTTTTTGATTTAATGGTAACTAAAACCCTCAAACTTTTGAAAAAAATCAATATGATCCCTAAACTTTTTTTACACTCAATATGGTCCTTAAACTAATTTTTTTTATAATTTAATTTTTTAGCATTTTTATATTTAATATATTTAATATCTTAATAATTGTTTATATTTTAAATTTAAATAATACCTTAATTTTTTTAAAATTTAAATAAGTCTTTAAACTTTCTAAAATATTAATTAGGGCCTCAAACTTAGTAGAAAATCAATTAAATTCATGTACCACATCATTATTCATCATGCACTGCCATAACAACATAATGAACTGTCACATCAACATTGTAGATTATCATGTAAACTTTGTGAACTATCATGTAATCGTCTTGACGGTTTGATTCAATAGGTCAAAAAATTAAATAGATTTTTTTGTGTTATGAATTTTTTTATCAATTTTATTGTTTTTACATAACTCACATGTTAAATTTATGTAATAAAATTTTTAATAATTATATTTAATTATTTAATAACTATTTATTCATATATATTTTAATAAATTAGACACCAAATATATTTTCACAATTTTTATTTTTGAATTTAAGCTTTCACTTATATTAACCAACATGTTTTCTAATTTTCAAAAATATGAAAATGAAAACTATTTTCTAAAAATAAAATTAGAAAATAAAAACAGGAAATAATTTCTGGAACCAAACGTACCCTAATTCTTTATGTTGTTCATATTTTGTTCTAGTTTTTTACACTTCACGGATTTTGTAACCCACATGCCTCAAGTAAGTAAAAGCATATGTATTTGTGTATCAATGTGTCTCTCATATCTATAATTTATCCGGGCCAACTTGGCAAGTAATGTGCTTAGGGTTGTAGATAGGGGCGTTTAAATTCGGGTATTTGGTTTTGGGTAGTCGAAGTTTTGGGTACACGGGTCTTCGGATATTTGATTTTTCAGCCTGTGTCCCGACTTAGATATTGTAGATACCCAGTATCTGAGTATCCGAATTTTGCGTGTACTCGTAATTCAGTCAATCGGGTACCCCATTTTTTATAATTTTAAAATTATTATTTAAAAAAAAAACTCGTGTTATTAAAAAATATTATATTAATTATTAAACATACAACTATTGGGTGAGTGGGTTTTTTTTTAAATTTTATTAGTTTAATTTAATATATAAAATTATTAATGGTTGAATATGTAATATTATAATATATAAAAAATTAAATGTAATCGGGTATTCAGGTAATTGGATACCCGAAAAATATCAGGTCGGGTACCCGCCTGATCGGGTATTTATTTATATAGAAAAATACCTGAATTTTTTTAGTTTAAGTCGACATGTCGGATCAATCGGGTTAGGTATTTTTTAACACCCATAGTTGTAGAGAGTGCTTTAAATCTAGAGAGGGAAAGGATACAAAAATTAAAAGAATTTGAAGAAATAAATCAATCACTAGATAAATTTTAAATCGTATATTTCTTTTATATACATTTGATTTAACGTGATCCAATATAAAATAAATATGATAACTAAAAAGATAAGGAATCATTTTGAATTTATCAAAATGTGTATTCGTAATCATTAACCGACACTTTTAGCAGTTTAGTTAATTGAAACCGTCTAACTTTAACGACTCAGTTAATAAAATTGTGAAATATAATAGTTATATCAATTAATGATTACATGTTAATTTCAACACTCTTACATATAATTATTTACTTGTTATATATGTCATGTCCATATTGTCCATCATATAAATCATAAAAAATAATCATAGAAAAACTTATGTAAAACTCGTTTAATTTTATTAGATCATTCTTATTAAAATAAATATAATATTACATGATCAATAAAGTCAAGGTTGTGGGTTCAACCAGACCAGAAATGGATCCGAGAAAGAGGAATGAGAAAGTCCAAGCGCCAATGCACTAATGGAAACAATATATAAGCAAAAAGCTTATATATAGGCAACGGTGCTATCTACCCTCTCACAGTTTAAGGGTATCTTAGAGCCATTTACCATGCATAATTCGTTCGTCTTTGTTATGATTTTTGGTCTGTTATTTACATCAGAAAATGTAGGTCATCAAGCTGAGGCTGCCAGGGAATTTTTCGTGTTTGGAGATTCATTAGTCGATAATGGTAACAACAACTATCTCGCTACAACAGCTCGAGCCGATGCTTACCCCTATGGTATCGACTATCTGACTCACAGAGCTACCGGCCGGTTCTCTAATGGCCTTAACATTCCAGATCTTATAAGTACGTCCTTTCAATCATTTCTTACATGTTTTTCTATCTGTCTGAAGTAAAACATGGTTCAATCTGCTGTTTTTATAGTGTTTTTCACGTGTTATTTAGGTGAGCAGATCGGCTCAGAACCAACATTACCGTATCTTAGCCCGGAGCTCACTGGACAAAGGCTTCTTGTTGGCGCCAACTTTGCTTCTGCCGGAATCGGAATTCTCAACGACACCGGAGTTCAATTTGTAAGTCTGATTTCCTTTTACAGGGGAAATAGTGTCTGAATTGGAACCAGGCTAAACTCGGAGTCAATTTTGATTTATTTTCGGAATGTCCTAAAATAGTGCTACATTTTGTAGGTCAATATGATCAGAATCTACCAGCAATTACAGTACTTCAGGCAATATCAGGAGCGAGTGAGTGCACTTATTGGACCTCAACAAACTCAACGCCTAGTGAACCAAGCACTTGTTCTAATGACCCTTGGTGGCAATGACTTCGTAAACAACTATTACTTGGTTCCCTTCTCGGCACGATCACGGCAAATCGCACTCCCCGATTACGTCGTCTATATAATTTCCGAGTACCGGAAAATTCTAATGGTAAACTTGCCCCATCACTCAGACTCATATTTTGCTCCCCTTCCATCTTTATTGTGCTCAACTACCATTTCTAAGGGCATTGGTACAGTTTGATAAAAGAAAATGCCACAATGTGATCACAAATTAAAGTTCTAAGAATAATATATATTTTAATATCTGTAAATAGTAACGGAGACAAGTTTCATTGTTCCGGCTTTCATGGAGTCTAGAGAGAAGAGGGTGAATTACTGTTATTTTTCAAGTTTGGTTTGGTTGGTGAGGCCAACATGAATTTTGATGCTTTTTTCAGTGACTACAATTAAAGCTAAGGCTTCCTTTTCTTTCGATAATAAAAATTTTGACTTATGATACACCCAAATTTTTATGTTATGTGAATTTCTAAAATTTTAGGAGGCCATTAACATATATAATTTTATAAATGAAAACATATTATCAATAAAAAAATATGAGTTTCGTAAGGCCAGCTCCAAATTTATATTTTAGGATGTCTAGTGTGTTCCAATCAAAACCAATAAAAATATATAAATCTTTTTAAAACCATAGTGAAACCCTCCAACCAAACTCCATTATGCAGTTCCCCAGAACTGCGTCTGTAGGGCTTACCCTAAACACACAGCAAAGGGAGCCAACCTAAGGATATGCCTTGGGGCCCATGCGCCTACCCAAGGGTATCCTTAGGTCCGTAAGGCCAGCTGGATCAGGGTTGTGCCTCCATACTCCAGAATCCTATCCATATAAAATCCAGTAGAAATCAATTTTAGCCATAAATCGTAATACCTGGATCGTTATCCAGTAATATGTCATAATCATAAAAATGAAATAAACCGTATAACTGATTTCCACCTGTACACCATAAGTAGTTCCATGATTAACCCAAAGGAGTGCCTTGGGGCCTGAGAGCCTACCCAAGGATCACCTTAGGTCCGTAAGAAATTTCCAGCTTGATCAGAGTTGTATCTCCAGTCTACCCATATAATATCCCAATAAAACAGTTCCATAAGTAACCAGTATATTTCATGGTCCATAAATCAATAACATTTCATAGTTTTCGATGAAAACCATAACCAGATATCACATACCATGTTGCCATGGTTCATAAACCAGTAAATCAATAGTTTTGCTAAAACTCATTTCAAAACATATAAAACAGTCATGTAGTACACGTGGAACACACTAGAGTATCCAATTATTTTCTAGAGGTATTTTATAGTTATTAGTATGGATAAAAAGAAGCTTGTGCAATTTGATTGGATTACAAGAACAAGGTTCTATTGGAGAGGATTTATTACTAACCGATCTAATCAGACACTTAAAGTTGATACTTAGAATCCCACTATGTTTTCATGTGCATCAGGAAAGTGTTCAAGAACGCCTGGAGTAATTTGAGTTGATAAAGAAGAAATGAAGATTCAGGACATTTACCATTTATAATAATCGATCGAATTATCAAACAACTCTAGAACTGATATTTGTCGACTGCTCAATTCATTATCCTTCTATGACATTAACTCTTTAATACCAAAATGTATATACATAGATCATCTCCAGAATCATCCCTGAATATATCCTCCAATAGTCTCTATTTTATTTCCACGTTTCAACGGTATCAAGAAATGCTGACGTATTTGATTTGTGGTTCGTTACCATAATAATAATATATTATGCAAGTTCATTAGTGTTCCCAGACTCATCCAAATCACTTATTTAATCCTCAGTCATAAAGATTACTTAATTCCTTTAGCAGTCAAGTTATCTCGGCTACTTCAGAGTTTTCCAAAGTAATTCAAACATTTCTAAATTTCTAATACATATAGTACTTCTGTTCAGTTCAATATGGTCTTCGTGGTAAATTTGTCTAACGAATATCCATTTCTTAGTACCGAATGCATTGTAGAGTTGAGTTGAGCTAAGTAATTACAGAATTATCATTGAACCACACTTGAGAATACGAACACGCATTCAAGTAACATCTATATCGTTCAGGTACTAACATATCATTAAGATTGATCAACTCACTTAAGTTGTGTTCCATAACTTCTAAAGGTAGTCCAACACCTATGCTTATTTGGATTCGTTAATTAATCCAAGACATTTACTTAGTATAGGCCATAAGGGTCTTTTGGAAATTTTGGTGTTCAGTTTTATTCCATTCATTTCAGAGCTCAAAGATATCCATTCATTCCTGAGTTTGGTGATATTCATGGTTCATTTCCATTACAGGTGTATTTTGGTCATTTTACAGATCTACGGTATTTCAATCTTTTCCTTCCATCCGGTCTTATTATTTAATTTAATCTTATCATCTATTTCAGTCCCTTCAAACAATTCTGATAAAAGAGCACCCTCCGATAAATAGTTCTTCAAATATTTACTCATAACTCGGTTATTTTCGGGTCAAGTGCATTCTCAGATTTTACGAACGGAATATCATAAATTTTTCTGTACAAAGACAATATCTTAACAATTAAATTCGTACTTAATCGAGTTAAGTACAAATCCTCAAAGTACTTTCTCATTCAGGGTCAACTCAGACTATTTTACCTCTCCAGGGCATTTTCGTAATTTCTTAACCATATACTTTCGATATTAGTTCTTAACGAAAATAATTATAATTTAAAGATCCTATAGTTAATTGCTTTCCCGAACATTCTCTGATCTTGAAATGATTCCTTAACAGACTTCTAGCATCTTGCTCAAACCCTCTTGGGGTTAAAAACCGGTTATCTGCATTTCCTAAGCAAAACTAACATTTCTTATGCACATCAGTAATTTTTATCGGATCAATATGTCTTTTCAGAGTTATTAACCAACTTCTAGGGACAATTCTTGTCATATTACAATATAAGGGTATTTTCGTAATTTTTTCCAACCAGAGTATTCTCATAATTTCTCATCCGAGTACCTTTAATATTTAACCTTTGTTGATATAACATATAAGTTACAGATCCAGGGTTGATTTCTTTATCACTAATCACAAACTTGTAATTTAATTCTAATAATTCTTCAATCTCTTATATTAGTTATTCGATCCGTATTCAGTTGTAGAATTTCTACCACATCTATATCGAGTGTATAAATTATTCGACTCCACAAAAGTGACCAACATTATCTTATTCATGCATTTACCGATATCAACATATTCCATAAAGCATAAAGAGGTATTAAAGTATTATCTTGATTTTCGTGCCATACTGATCGACCATATAAATTCCATTCGAACGTCCTCGATATTGAAATCATCTTTTAATATTTCCTTGGATCCATATCAACAGAAATTACATAAAAAAAATGGAGATTAATTTTGAAAAACGGATCGAATCGGATGATAAATCAGTGAAAAATAGCTTACCGGGTTTGAATTTGGCGAAACAGACTTCAAATTCGAATTCAGGACGTCGAAAGCATAAAATATGACTTTTTGAAAATCTTGAATTTTCGGTCAAAGTCAAAGTCAATGGGTTTGACTAGTAATTTCGAGGCCTTCGGGTCCGAATTTCAAAAAATGGACTGCGGAATCGGATTTGGAACGTCGAAAAATGTCAGGATAGATATACTCGGTCAAAGTCAAAGGTCGTTTAATGCTCGGTCAAAGCCGGTCAAACTTCTGGTCAACTGTGGTCAACGCCGGTCAACGGTCAACGATCAACAGTCGGCCATTTTACACAAATATCACCCTTAAAGAAATTAATTACCAAATTATCCACATTCTGTAAATATTTACGAAACTAACACCCTAATTTTACACAAATAGCACCCAAACATAATTTAATTAAAAAATTATCACTCAGACAATGCCCACTCTCGGGGGTGGCGCGTGCTGTGCGTGAACAGTGATACGGTGTCAGAAATTTCCCGAAACAATTGCTAAAAATTATTTTTAGCGATTTTGAGACACTTACAAAGCTCGGTTCAAAATTTTGAACGGCGGAGAGCTTGATTCCGAAACGTCGAAAACTTTGACGGTCTCACCCCTTCATGCGCCGGCGATGACGGAGAACACCAATGGACTCTGAATGATGCAAGGAACACGATGGTGCGGGAGGTGTCGTAAACGGATGACTGGATCGTCGTGAATCGATGAAAAACCAACTGAAATCGAGTTATTTCCGATGATACTTCCAACTGAAATTAACGATGAACGGCGACGATTCACGATGAAAGGTTTGAGGAGTTTTGTTCTTCGGTCGACAACGAACATGATGGTGATTTCGGTTCGTCGATTGGAGGTCGGACGACGAGTAGATCGGAGTTGGAAGGAGGGTTGTTGGAGAAAGGAAAACTGGAAAATATGAGAACTTGTGCACGGGGAAGAGCTTATAATTGATCATATATAAGAGATGGTTAAATCATGGGTTTAGTCACTGAACTTCTTGCACTTCTTAAAATGGTTATTATAATAGGTTCGTAGAGGAGTAGCATATCCCAATTTCATTTATGGGGTCAGGTCAAAATTTCTCATATGAATAACTCTCACATGGCTCGTAAGGTACTGTACAGAGTTTAGAAAGATGTTACTCGTATTCCTTTTTGAAAAGTAGAGCCTTAACGGATAAAAACTTCGGTTCGCTCGTTACAGATAGGGACTCAACCTTGGAGTTCCGGCTCAGAGAAGTACGATTGTAGTCTAGGGGCATGTACTGATCAGACATCTTTTGAAATTCGACCGGTCGGTCTATCTTGAAAATTTTTGACTCAAACCATAGCTCTGATACCACTAAATGTAACCCCCTCAGACCGATGCGGGTGGCCCGATCCGATCTGGAGTGTCACATCAAGGCCACCAGAGCGACCCACCGTAAAAATAGCGGAAAATTTAAAGATTTTTGTCAGAACATGTAACTCATAAAATGATTTATTAGTATACAGAAATAAAATAGATTTTCAAACTCATACATAAAAAAATTCAATTACATGCCTCCTAATAACATGTACCATACTCTGTACTCAACGTCGGAAGAACTCCCTTGCTGATGTTGATAGTTGTACTGGTACAATTCTTTTAACTTGCAATGGTGAGTAATAGAGTGAGCTTCGAAAAGCTCAGTAATACAGAACTACCAGATGATGCTGCAAGACATGCCGATAAATAGAAA